CATGAGGCCCTAGAGAAATTCAAACAGAAATAATTTCTCAGATAACCACAGAGATGGTGAGAAGAATGAAAGACATGATTAGAGACTCTAGAATGGAAACAGATTAAAAAAAAATAGATGAGCTCAGGACTATGATGGAAACCATGAATGCCCAGCATAGGAAAGAAATGAAATCCCTAAAACAAATTCATACTGATACCCAGGAGATTAAAAACTCTATAGAAAGCATTCACAGCAGAATGAACAAATGTGCAGATAGAATTTCAGGAACAGAAGTCAGGATCGTGGTCAGTGACCATGAAAAGAGAGATCTCTTAAAATACTTGTTGAATGTTAGAGTTGACCTCCTCTGCCAACTTTTTACCCTGAAATCAGAGCTCAGAAAGGCACAGGGATGCATTAGGACTCGCCAGGGCTAATGTGGCAAAAAAGGATCTGAATTCAAGTCTATCTGATTCCAGAGCCTATCTAAGTTCTTTCCGTTCTGTCATGAGGCTTTGTTAAGTTGTCAGGGGTTCTTCTAGCTCACTCCGATACAATTGGTAGAACCAGGAAATCAAGGCTTGTTAAAAAAATAAAAATGGAAAAGGGCAGTCTGGGTCTTCCTTCCCCAGATGTTCACCTGTGAGGAGACTGGTGAAGTGCCACCTCTGGCACTGATCACATGTGGGTGCAGATCCCCCCTGTAGGGCTTCTGTGCTTACTGTACATGAGGATGAGAATGAAGCCCAGTGGTGTTAAGACACCCAGCAGGCACTCAGGGAATAGCAGCCATGCTACTGTGATTGTAAAGATGGCTTCTCATCATCTCTGTTGGCCAGGGAGAGAAAATGAAACAGGACAGGTACAGCTGCCTTATCACCAAAGGATAAACTCTTTTCTCAACAGTAGATTTGGAAGGCATAACACGTGGAACATCACGTGAACTGTCCTAGGAGAACCCACACTGACATAAGACAAATCCTACCACCTTGGTCAATCCTCTGAGACCCTGATGGGATATCAGTAGTGACAATCAGAAAAGTCTACATTTCTCTTTTAAATTGTTATTCACACCTAGAAGCATTTGCATTGTCCTTTTTTATCTTTGGAGTCCAGTAATTGGATGCCAGTGCATGTGGAAATTTCTCTACAAGTCGTAAAATCCCTCATTCTCAATAGCTCAGGAATAAAAACAATACCCAACATATTTGGGAAAAGAAAACAGACCTCCTCTGGCAGTGTGGCTGAGAACACACCATTTCCAAAATACTTAACAAAACAAAATGCAACTGGATCACAAGGAGGAAAAAAATGAACACAGATGTTTCTTAAAAATACACATTCCCCTCCCCTTAGTTTAGTCTCTTCCTCTTTTATATCCACCCACATTCCCCAGTGTCTGTTGGTCGGTCTGTCTATCTATCTATCTATCTATGATGCAAATTCAGCTGTGGAGGGCGTATTCCTTTCAGCAGATGTTTTGTGTTATCTCAATGTGTTCCTCAAGAAAGTGTCTGTTCATCATGCCAAAGAAAACAATCCTGTGTAGCAGAACTTTGTTCTTCTGCCTAAGAAAAAAGTCTCTAAACAAACCGACAACTGTAAATGGTTAGAAATAAACTAGCTACTATCCTATTCTACAACTTCTTTCCTCTGCACCCAGCTCAGCCCCTTTATGGTATCCTCCACTCTATCACAGTGGTTAGACCAGAAGAAAGGAAGAGAGACTAACATGCATTTATATGTTCTAAACAGATTGTTAATTCTTTCAGACATGCCATTTTCCAGGCATAGGAAGTGCTGTTTCAGCCACTCAAAGGAGCACCTGTAAATACAGTGTGCCTGCTTGTCACACTTTCTCTAGTGCCTCAGAACCATTTCTCAGCTAGTAGAGACTGCTCCTTACTAATATCTCCAGGATTTCTGCCTTGGCCCTCTGCTTTCATGGCATAATAGTTCAGGAGAAACAGATGAAAAAAGACCAAAGGAGACCTGAGAAAGGTATTCACCATGGATTGATAATAAAAGCCATTAAAAAATAAACCATCATTAGTTCAAGCCCGCCTAGTTTGCTGAAAATATAATGGGCCAAATGAGATGGAGTAAGCTGAAAATGAGATGTTAATAAATTTCAAGTCAAGCTAAATAACCAGTAATTTGATCATGAGTATCAGTTAGAAGTAAAAGCAACAAATAATCATATGAGAAAATGTTCAACATCATTGGTCATTTGAGAGACGCAGATGAAAACAACAATGAGATTCCATCTCATGCTGCTAAGAATGGCTGCTATCAAGAAGTCAACCAATAACAAATGCTGGTAGGTTGTGGGGAGATAGGAACCCTTCTTCATTGTTGGTGGGAGTACAGACTGGTGCAACCACTATGGAAATCAATATGGAGATACCTCAAACAACTAGGATTAGAAGTCTCATTTGACCCAGCTATTCTCTGCTGGGTATCTTCCCAAAATAATTAAAAGAATCATACCACAATGATATATGCTCACCCATGTTTATAGTGGCACAGTTTGTAATAGCTAAAATTTGAAAACAGCCTAATTACCCATGAGCTGGAGACTGGATAAAGAAGACGTATTCTTTTCTTAATGAAATGGAATACAACTCAGCCATAAAGAACAAGAAACTTGACAGATTTATAGCTAAATGGATGCACATTGAGGCCACACTCAAGTGAAATTAACAAGCCACATGTGTAAATACCAAATAGTCTCTCTGGTGTGAAAAAGTAAACGTATAAATAAGGATTAAAATGTATAATGATATTGTGTAATAGGAAGAAAAGTCTAAAAGAGTAGAGGAAATGGGAGGGGTAGGGGAAAGGTTAAAAAGGAAAAGAAAAAAAGTATGAAAAGGAAAAACATGGAAACAATGTCTTTGTAAACAGGTAAGGGGGGTGTTGAAGGAAGGGCTGGGAAATGGAGAAAAATAAGAACCTGATAAGTCATGTATAGGTACAAGATCCCAATGATGAATGTAACTATACTGTATACCTAAAATGTACCAATAAATTTAACAAAGATAAAAATAATTTGAAAATGATGCACATTTCTTGTCATGCATATGATATTGTGAACACTTACAGCAATAAAACCATTCTTTATTCACCAGCAGATGCTTTATTCCATTATGTGTAGGGCAATTAGTTCTAAGCCTTGTCCAAATAGTATCTAATTTATAACTATCTCTCCAATCCCACTGTCTCTTCTCTACCTCAAACCACCATCATCTACTGGACTTACGTGGCTGACCCTTCAATAAACTACCTTTCTCTACTTGTGTATTTCTCTAATCTCCACTTGCCAGGTGTGGGAGCTTTCTGATAGGCAAATCTAACCAGAAAATCTGGTGAAAGCATAATCTGAATTTCTGCATAAGCCTCTAAGCCTCCTACTGCTTTCAAAGTGGAAGCAAAGATCTTTGCATGACTTTGCACACATATGTCTCTCTGTTGTCATTCCTGAATGATGCATGCAATATTTCATCCATTTAGAACTAAGATCCTCTGACTCACTGACTTCTGGGTGAGACTCTACACAAGAGGACCAGCACCATGAAACACCTTCCTCGGCTTCTCCTTTTTGTCTGGCTGACTCCCATGTGCTATTCAAACCTCAACTCAGTTATCACTTCTTGTACAGTGTCCTCTCTGCCCACCTCACCCTCTGTCATATGGTAACACTGTGTACTTCCCTCATGGTAACATGTAACACCTTGTCTCATACTGTTCTTTTGTTACTATTGTTTTGCAGTACACTAAAAATTTTGTAATGTCAAAAAGTGCATCTGTTCACAGTTATATCCCTGGCATTTAATGCATGCCAGAACTAGGTGGCTTTCAATAAGTATTTGTTGGGTGCATGCAATGGAATGTTTATAGCCTTCCTTAAATTCACGTATTGAAATTCCAACCTACAACATGATTATCAGGAGATGGAACTTTTGGGAAATGATTAGGTCATGAGAGCAGACATTTTGTAAATGGCATTAGTGCCTGTATAAAGGAGGCCCTTTTTCTTCTTCAAGTGATACTATCACAAGGAAACTGCTGTCTGTGATCCTGGAAGACAGTGCTCACTAGACAGTAAATTTGTTGGTGCCTTGATCTTAGACTTACCAGCCTCCAGAAATGTGGAAATGAGTATTTGTTACTTGTAAGCCATCCAGTTTGAGGCATTTTTGTTATACCAGTTTGAGTAGACTAAGATTATGAATACATGAACAAATAACTACATAAGCCAGAGTAATGCAGGCATGGTGAGGTGCTTCATTTGATTTCCCCTTATGTTTTCCAACTCCCAGCAGTGGTCCTTGAGCCTGCTCTATAGAAAGCTTCCCAGGCAATTGCTAGGGGGCCCTGTTTAAACTTGACATGCCAAAGGCAGTGAGACTGCAGTGAAAATTAATACAAATTTATCTCTTCTAACATCTTAGAGGAAAATTTGTCTTTCTGTTAGGTTTCACCTATCGTGAGGATGAGCATCTCCTTCCTAAAATTGTACTGCATATTTATAGTAAAGTATCTAGTTTTACCTAAATAAAAAAGTGTCAAATATGTGGTTTCCCAGAGTTTCTAAACTTTGCAACATGCAACTGCAAGGTATGCAATACACAAGGCTTGATTGAAACCCAACCTAAGGAATGCTTGTCAGAGCCAGAAGGGAACAGCAAACAGGAATTAATCTGACAAAGGAATGTAACTAGGGGTGGGGTTACTTTTCTAAGCAGAAAGGGTCTAAGAAAGGGAAACGTACCCAAAAAAGCCAAGGCAGATTCTGCACATGCAAACCCAGCCATGTAGGAACCAAAAGAAGGACTGTGTGGATGTATAAATGGTATACTTGGATCTGTATGTATGGCCAGTGAAAGAAAGTTGGTTGGATCAGAATGAAATTAGAAATATTGCTTTAAAAGCCAATCCCTAGGTCAGAGTTTACCTAAATTCATGAACTGAATTGTGTAATTTTAAGTCAATGATTTACTTGAATGTGTTTTCAACTGTAAGTCTTCAAGGGTTACAAAGGAGCATAAATGAATAAGGTAAGCTGGGTGTAATACAATAGGGAATGCTCTGGACTTTGTCAAACTGGAGAGTATGTTATGTAGGAAAGGGAAAAAAAGGGCCCCAGTATTAGCTAACTGTTGCACAGTAGGAAAATAGGCCTAGGATTGCCAGACCTGGTCTTCAAGAGAATCCAGAAGTCTAGATTCTTATGTGAAATTGTTGCAGATAAATGTTGGTTAATTTTAAATATTTTTAAAATTTCAAACATATCGTTTAACACACACACACACATACACACACACATATATATATGTAACTCAGCCTGGAACTTGACCATAGGGTGACAGGTTAATTTTTAAAAACACTAAATAAAGAAACTAAGAAAAAAAGAAACATTTCTGGTAGCAATGTGCTTATGAAATACTCAGATCTTGTTTCTATCATTCTTCAATAAAAGGAATCAGGGTCTCTTGAAGAAATGGCTGATGTTAGAGCTGGATATAAAAGATGGACTAGAAGACCAGAAAGTGCTCAAGAAGAAACAACGAGGACCATCAAAGGGCCACAGAGGTCAAACTGCAGGAGCTCTGGAACGGCTAACACTGGAACAATCTGAGCAATAAGGTAGATGGAGTAGGCGTAAAATAAATATCTATGAGTCTATACAGATATAAATAAATGACTTAACAATAAATTGGACAAGGGCAAATCTATGCAGCAGGATTGTAAATACTTTACATTTATACTCACCTCTCCAGGAGGAAGAGCTCCTGGCTGTGGGCCACACTTGGTGACTGGCTTCCAAAGAGTACAAGAAGGAAGAAGGGAGTCGCTACCCCACAGAAATCTGTCAAATAGACCTTGGCCAAGTGATCCCAGTTAACATCAATAGAGATGAGTCAGGTTCACAGCACACACCTTTGATGTGATGAGATGAAGTCACTTTGTGTCATCTCTACCCTTAAAGTCCACCAACCCACAAAATGAGGGATCGTCTACAAAATACACTCAAAATTACCAAGTTCATCAAAAACAAGTAAAGTCTGAGAAAATATCACAGCTCAGAGGAATCTAAAGAGACACAAAGACTAAGTGTCACGTGGTATCCTACATGGCATCCAAGAGAAAGAAAACGGCACCAGGAAAAAGCTAGCAAAATCTGCATGGAGTGTGGAGGTTAGTAATGGTCACGTTTTGAAGTTAGTTCCTTAGCTGAAACAAATGTGTTGTAAATGCAAAATCTGACGTTACCAATATGGAAAATTGGGTGAGGGATATATGGGAACTTCATGGTATCTTTGCAACTTTTCCATAAATCTAAAAAATTCTAAATAACAAGCTTATTTCTATTTAAAAAATATTCTGTGGGTGAGGAGTATTTGATTGGTTCCAGGGGCTATGACTCTGTGCCTTCTGGTAAATGTGCTGACATTTCTGTATTTAGTGATGAAAATCTTTGAGCAGAACTGGCTATATACTTTGAAGAGTCACTTACTGGGAAACTATTCAGAATTTCACGATGGTGACAGCAGAGTACTGAACTGAGCCCAAGGCCCTCTGGGTGCAGGTGCTGTGTGATGATACAGGCACATACCCACCAGCCTCTAACGGCACTATGACCTGAACACAGATGCGAGCCAGGAATCATCCTTGCTCTAGACAAAACTCCAGACAAAACCTGTATTTATTCATTAGCTAATTTAAATAACTAACATTCATTTGGAGGTTGTGCCACATACTGGCAATTTAGCAATAAGCAAAGGAATTACATTAGATGATAACTCATAGGGTCATCTTATACTTGGCACTAAATTCTGCCAGTGAAAGTTGTCTGTAGGACCTCCCTGAGGTACAGATATTTCACTCTCTCTGCCTTTCCACTTTCTCCCATCTCAACTGCAGCATGACCTACCTACAGTGAAACTTCTAAAAAAGTGATTGCTTTAAGTGGTACCACACCTGCCTCACAGCTCAAGGCCCTGAGTTCGATCCCTGGTACCAAAAATAAGTAAACAGAAATAAATAAAATACATAAAAGCTTTGTGGACATTTTCCATGTGCAATTAAAAGTTTTAGTTATGCTGGCTTCTAAGTTAAACTTCTATTTCCTGAGCATCTAATTAGCATATGTAAATATTCATACCCAAACCCACCAACTAGTGAACCAGGGTAGCTGTTTTTCCCATTTGCAAATGCGAAAACAAGAAGCTGTGTTATGTCACTTGCCCCGATGATACAGGTGTGCAGCTGGAACTTCAATCCAGATCCAGTTCACTTCAAAGCATCAGTTTTCAAAATAATATACCATTTACTCCTCAAAAATCAAAGTAGTTTCCTTAAAATTATTTTCTAAAGCTAACTTTATTGTCAAGAAAATACCATTCAATAGCCAGGGTTAAAAAAATTATAGCTGAAATAAATTACTACTAGGCCATTAGCCAATTTTTACAATATAAAATGTTTCTATTGTTTTTGAAAACATTTAAAAAACAAATTTCAGCACTTTTAATAAAAAAGAGAACTGAAATGCTACTGCAATATTCATTTACTGTAGTTTCAGCAGGTACAACAGACAACAAAACACTGGAGAAATCTGACATTTTGGACTAAATGAAAACATGAAACCTTCTGTCATTTATGATTCAGTAAAGGCACAATGCAGAACGGGACTATTATTTGAACCTCAGACGCACTGCACAAGAAACACTCCTTTTCAGTTCAAAAATCAGTGCTTATTGCAATTACATAAAAAATTATTTACTTCATGAAATATTATCATGATAAACAGTATGCAAAATGTTTTAAACATCAGAACAATGAAAATAATCTGTGAAAAGAACATACTCGACAACAACTAAGCAGAATTAGTAAACATAAAACAGCAAATAACTTGTGAATAACTATGCTTATCTGGTTAACACAACCAGTTTCAATACAGCCAAGAAAAAAATAAGGTTACAGGAATACCTAGTACTATACAAACTAGGTCAGTAACACTCATGCACACCTGTGATCACGTATTAACATGGTGAAGCAAACTAAATTCTTCCTGCTGTAATATTCTCATGTAAGAGAATAAGAAATAGAAGTATCTAACTGAGATCAATGCACATTCCTACATAAGACAGTTGTATCTGTCACTCTGATGACATTTTGTCTCTTCATAATGAAATACATTTAAAAAGTTTAATCTGTGGACTTTATTGGTTGCATTTATCCCAAGAGATGAGCCTACTACAGGTTCAACAAATTTACTGCAATATGTGAACCCCAGAAAGTTTGTTGGACCAATTCAACCAAATTTAAAGAGTCTGCTGCAATACTGTACAAGGAGCTAGAAATCCTCCCGTCTTTATATTTTTATCAAAAAAGATTTCCATTATTTCTTTTTTTTTCAGATTTAATTGAGTATATTGGTACATTTTAGGGATACAGTATAGTTACATTCATTGTTAGGATCTTGTACCTCCACATGACAAGTCTTGATTCTCATTTTTTCCCCTTACCCCTGCCC